TAGTAGAAATCAAAGTATTCATTCGATAAAAACTTGATATCTGATAATGGTGTTGAAAGAAGTAATACAGTTCTTATTTATACGTTCATATAACATTTTTAAATGATAAATAATTTGACAATTCTGTTTTTTCCTAAAAATTTATGTTTATCTGTAAAACAACAAACAGTGTGATTTTTTTTTAAAAGATCTTAACTGATAAGTAACCAGGTAATTATATTCGTCCTAGAACCCCAGTCCCTCCCTCAACAATGAAATAATTAAAGTATAAATAAAACTTATGACATACAGCTGCTTCGCATCACTTGTAAATTCTATTTTTCTTTGACAGATTATTCAGATTAATTTCAAGTTAGCGCAAATAAAAAATTGCTTTACTAAAGCACCCACAAATTCCTCTGGATGAATGTGTTGTTTCCATCAACTTCGAACACGTTTACCATAACACGGTAAATCTATAATATGTACTTATCATCTTTATCTAAGTTTACCTTTTAAGCTCTCTCTAAACCTCTTCTATAACTTAGATGACACATGTTTACTTTTTCATGTCTAAAATAGATAACAAGATTAATATTAATAATGCGTATTTTCAATGATACTTACAAAGAAGGTAAATATAGAAAACGTTAGTCCATCAAACAAAAATGGCTGTCACCAGTGATTGCTTGAGGTTATGACAATACGATGTTGGTAAAAGAAGTAAAATGGAATAAGTATGCAATTTTATTAACCACGAATGTCTTTTAACAAAATATTAAAGACATTTCTATTATAATTCTTTGGGTAGCTAAATATTGAAATGCCTTAAAGTTCGTAAATGATGTACCTACATGTAGGAACACCAAAATTTAAGTTTCTTTACACCTGCGCTCTAAGAAGATTGAAGATATATATGAACCCAAAAGTTCTTCGTCATTTTTCTAAGCAACGAAACTTCTTCTACTTGAACGAAGGAAGGAGGATCATGTAACGTGTCTGTTTAAATACATATAATTACAGGCATGATGCTTCTCCGAAATCTGCATGTTTTATTATGTATATTATATTGTTCTTCTAAACGTGTACTAACATGCATTCTTGTCGCTGCAGTTGCTTGCACTTTCTTCTGATTTTGGGTTAATAGTATTATTCTACTGCTTCTTGATTTGAGTTTCACGAGAGATATAGAATAAGCAATTGAATATAGGTTAATAGAAATGTTCCTAAGCCAAGATTAGAACTCAGTTTGCTTTGTACTATAGTTGTCAAGGTAAGCCTTATTACAGCAACATTACTATTATAGTCTAGTAGAGATCAGTTGAGTACAACAACATCCCGTCGAGAGTTACGAAGAGCATTAGGGTCGTTATTGTGATCCATAGCTATTCCCTTCAAGCCTATCACGCGTTGTGTTAAGCAGCATGTAAATAATTTGTAGACATAAGTGTTCTTTTTTCAAGCTTAATACTTAATTCAAGAACAACAACAAATAAAAAATTTAAAAAACCTAATGTTTTCAATCAATTTACGCTGTAACAGAATGATGTGTTAATTTACATTTGCCACTTTCATTCATACGTGAGGCCCCCACCTCCTTCAGCCAATAGGATTACACTTCGAGTTTTGTTTTAGCTTGGATTATGTCCAGTTAGAGTTCTCCTTACTTCATAGGCATATCTTTCCGACGGTTAAAACATTGTCTAAAGAAAGGTATTTAATGAACTAAGACGAACAAATTTACTATTCGGAGATTGCTTTGTCAGTTTAGTGTCTCACATGTGGTCTGTGTAGGAGAAAATTCTGGATGTCATAGCAAATATCATGGTAGTAGAATGGTGATAATAAATTTTGGTAGTGTACTCCTTGAGTCTCCATATACTATTATGTGTTAAGACATGACTTTAGGATAGAACAACTTCTCGAAGTAACCCAAGCACCATGGTAGGAGAGTAGTGAACAGAAACTCGGATAATGTACTCCTCGTGTCACTTGGTTTAGAAGATTATTCTTAATGTAAAAATAATACCATAGTCACAAAGTGGTTGTCGAAAACTTGGGTAATATACTCCTAGTGTTGTCATGATTTGTTAAAACATTTAGGTTCTCAACACAAATGCAAATAAAATGATAGTAGAATCGTGATAAAAATATAGATAGTGTACTCCATGCGTTGTCATACGTCAGTACAAATGCTTATTTTAGAATAAGACCATCAAAGTCAAACCAGATATCATCGTAGTAGGGTGGCAATATGATCTTAGGGTAGTTTACGTCTAGTGTCATTACACGACAGTCCAAAATTAAAGTAAGAGAAGACCCCTGACGTCAAATGAAACACCATCTAGTGAGGTGGTGATGTGAGGTAGTGTACGTCTATTGTCATTGCACGGCAGCTCAAAATTAGAGTAATCGAATACATCCGACGTCACACGATATACCAAGATAATGTAAGGTTAATAGAGTCTGTAGTAAGTATAATATTATTGGTTATGAAAGCCGTAGTCGGAAGATGCTGAAGGGTCTTTCTTCAAATTTACTTGGAACTATTACTTGTTTATAAAATGGCGTATTTAATGACATAGATAGTTTTATACACTCTATTTGTAATAGATTAGCATTACTCTAGTTTCGGTGCAGAATTGACTAATGGATTTTAGCAGCTCGAAGAGCCCTAATGTTATGGGTACTAAAGGTTTTTGAGTTTGTTTTATGATCACAGACAATAATGTTACTGGAGTAAAATTTCAAAAGTGCTTTATTATCGCTTTATGCTCAATTAACTTGGGATCTCGTGGGTTTTCAAGTTAATTGTTAGTTGGAAATTTTCTGTTTTTAATCTGCATCTAAAGAAGCGTGTAATAATAGAAGAGATATATTTTGAAAAGCTTGAAAACTTTTGTTAGCATTTTTATTTTTCAGAAATATTCTCGTTTCAACAATAAATAAATAACTAAGTCAATGCAACATTTTTCTTTATACTATCTGTAAAAAAAAAAAAAGTTTAGGCACATGTTATAGATCGCTTTGTCATTATTTATTATGGTTGTGTCACACTTCTCTTTCTTTTCTTATGTTCACCAACTTTATTTAGGTTATACTTATTCACTATCAGGAATTGACTCATGCCAATGTAAACATAACAAATTGCTGTTTATTACTGGTAATAAATATGCTTTGTTTCTTTCTGACAGTATATTACTTTCTTCCTTCCCCTCTCTCGATATATTCATTCTCTCTTTCACATCTCCCGATCTTTTTCTTTTCTTTCGTTGAACTCTTGTATTTTATATTCCTTTCTCAAACCCATGTTGAACAGTCACCTTTCTTTCTAACTGAGCACACCTGTTTCCCTTATATTCGGATTACAACATCTCATAATCATTGCGGATCCCATAATCTCCACATCGACTGAACAAGAAAGGCGGTTGCTCACTCCAATATTTTCCAACGAGTGTAGTCCCCTAATCCCTTAGGAACTGACTTAAGCCAGTATCTTTCTCACGCCTCTCAACTCCAACCGATGTTCCTTATACTTAACTTCATAAGAAATGAAAATTATTTTTCATCAGATCTTAGTATAATGCAAACTTGCTATCTTGAAATAATTTAAAGTAAGCAAATCATATTCCATCAGAGCTAACCTTAGACCCATCGAGAGGGCGGGGATACCAGGGACAAATTCCCGGGACACGGACCTATAGGAGGCACGGAAGAGAAGGAAGATAAAAGATAAAAATAAAATAATTGATTAAATAATAGAGACAATGTAAGTAATAAACATAAATATTGTTGCGTCAGCAGTCACATGACTACAGTGACGCAACGTTTCTAGAATTATCATGTACTTTGGCGAATGCTCTAGTATTTACTAGTAGGGTACGCTGGTATATAAAAGAGGGGAATGTAATGTGTGATAGTCAGTGAGTAATTGAACTGCAGTCACAGGGTATTGTTGAAGTTAACGTTCGTTCGTTATAGTGTTGTTTTAGCGCGAGTATTGAGATTAAGTG